CCTTTGTTGAATTTCAGCATCTAATGCTAAATACTTTTAGAAAAAGAAAAAAAAATCAAGTTAGAAGAAAATATTATATATGTGTATATGTAATTATATCTATATTAAAATGTATATGTATATATTTTGTTTAGCTTTGGGGGCAGAAAAATGTAAACTCACAGATAAGGCATATTTATATTGCTGCCCTAATGCTCCTTCTGAAATCAGGGTGCTCTCTGATGTCTAGGAATTACCCAACTTATAAATGTCCCAGCCCTTCTCTTTCAGAAGTGCATCATTTTAATCTTACAAAACTCTGACCTACATAGAAGGAATAATCTGTACCAGAGGGTCAACATGACCTATCTTATTTAATAATAGCTTGAAAAATCCATTTCAAAGTGTTAAACACAAAATAGCCTTCCTTAAAGATATTTTTCTGTATTTTTCTGTATTCTTTAAATATATATTCTGAGAGGACACTAAATTTCTCTGAGTGCCACCTTCTAAAAGCTAGATAGCTTTCTTTACTAGTTAAAAAAAAATCAAAAACAAAAACCCACCTGAAGTCCTGTTGCCTCTGTCTTCCAGACACTATTACTGAGAAAGAAATCTAATAAAACAATATGCTGTTCTATGACTCCCGGTGGAAGCAGGTATAATGGTGTTCTGTACAGCACTAGGTGACAAATGACACACTAGGCACACTCTGCTCTCGCCACCACCTATTATTGTTTTGTGGCATTGCAGGAATTCTTCTCTTCTATCTTACTTTTTTTTTTTCCATCTTTGCTTTTAAAATTAAAGCCAAGAATTTTGCTCAGCCCTTTGATTTCCGGCGCCATATGATATTGAGTGCCGGGTACTCAGTGACTACAAACTTGCAACTGATTAAGTTAGGCATGGGGAGACAGACTATTTCTAGTTCATACATAAAAGCAAATTCTTTTTAATCCAATAAGAAAACTAGTAAGACATATAAATCAAAATTTATAATAAGGTACTCAAAAAATCCAAATGAGTGTCCCCAGTCTAGTTCACAGAAGAGTTGCAAGGTAAGCATCAGTGGTTTGTCAAATTCCCTTTCCATGCTTCTCAATAACTGCTGGCTCAGCCCTACTCCACAGCGGTCCCGCTGAATGCTTCAATCTCATCCCCAACTCATGGCTCAGCATCTTTCCTCCCTCATCTCCACAGGAGGGGTTTGAGGTGAGAGGAGGAAGGAGATTGTCTCTTTCACTCCTCCCTGCTCCTCCTGCTAGTGCTGATTCCTCTGGGTTGGGCTGAAGAAGGGATATATATGGAAAATCAGTGTCTCTTATTTTAATCGGTGCCATAGTAGTCTTCCTTAGACATTCTCCGCTCCCCTGTCTGATACTAGGTGACATCCATGTGCAAAAGTAAGTGCTCCAGTTCAGCATATGAGTTGTTTGAGGGGCCTTGTTGGGTGAAGGGACCCTTCCCAATGCACAAGCCCTGAATACCAGTTCACCTTTTCCCTGTGCCCCCTGCAGCACGACGTCCCACCTGCTCCTGCTGCTTATATGCCCAGGCAAGTGACTGATTTCTTGGCTTGTGCCATAGGGGCTTCCAGCTCCACAACCATCCCTCAGTCCACCAGATCTGGGGAAAACCCTTGCATCCTTAGCATGTCAGGAAGTGGGAACACTGGTGGTTCTGCTACAGGAGTTTTTGAGGGTCTGCTGCCCATGAGCAAAACTAGACACTAGAATTGGTGGAAGGAAATCAGGTTTTATCAATTATCAGTAAACTTGAGGACAGAGCAGACTACTGTCACAAAGGCCATCTCCCTGAACTGGAGAGAAGCAAGGACTGGTATGGAGAGGGAGGGACTAGGAAAGGAGAGAGAGGCTACAGGGTCTATGATAGCAGGATTTCAGAGAAATAGGCAGTGTTTTCTAGGAACTGCATTCACTCCCTTTTTTCTTCCAAATTTCATTTTTTTTAAAAGATTTATTTATTTATACAAGCACTGGGTACAGTCAGAAGCAGGGGAGGGTGAGAGAATTCACCAGAGCCAGAGCAGGGAACAGAACAGGCAGAATAATGAAACACACTGCTGAGGGGAGCAGCGGGCAGCAGGAGAGGTCTGCGCGCCATGTGGGACCCTCGCCAGCAGCCTGGGATGGAACCAGCGCCGCAGAGGCTGTGGGCAGCTTCGCAACCTGGCGCTCAACTGCTGTGCTACCGGGGAGGCCCCCAAATTTCATCTTGATGGGGTTGTTCATGGTGCTGGTGGGTGTGGTTTATACCATGTTGATGAGGCTGTGCTTAACCTTTGTCCTATTTCAACCTCCACCTTGGTTTTAACTGGTTTTGCTTGATTGTCTGGTTTTGCCTGCCAAAAAAGATAAACAGGAGCAAAGCGAGGACAAACAGGTGAAGGAGGAGGAATTGATGGTCACTAGCCCATGGTGACATGGTTACTATGGTTACTAATTCCCTGACCATACCTGTCTCCACTGGGCCATTTTCCTCTACCTTCCTTCCTATGTTTAAATAGACACAAATGCCAATGACATCAGCAGATGACCAGCCTAGAATGGAAGTCAGCCCCCCATTTTGGCCAGCATCTGTAATCTCTGTGACTCTCCTAGAGTGGGGGTCAACAAAGTTTTTTCTGTAAAGGCCAGAAAGTAAACATTTTCTGTTTTCTCAGCCATATAATTTCTGTTTTGACTATTCAACTCTGCTCTTATAGTGAGAAGCTGCCATGGAAAATATGAAAATGCTCAAGTGTGGCTGTGGTCCAATAAAACTTCATTTTCAGAAATAGGGGGTGGGCTGCATTTGGGGAGAGACTGTAGTCTGCTGCCCCCTACCCCACTTGGCTTGACACAGAGGCTGGGGGAGCAGCTCATGGAGCGAAGAGAAAGCCCAGTCCTTTTCACCAAATGGTGAACTTGGGACCTTGTACCATCCACCCCCTCATCCCGCTCCAGGATTTCTGCTTGTACTGGCTGCAGGGGAGCACAACAGGAAGGAGTTTCAGTGAAGGAAGAAGAATTGATTGGGACACTTCCCAATAATCCCAAGCATGGACGCCCAGAGACCTACTGCTTGCAGTTCTCCCAAGAATGCAGGGAATTTGAATCTTTTTCTCAGTTTTAGATACTTAAGAGTCTTGAGCATAAGAAAGTCCCACTTGACCCCCAGTGACTCTTTATTTAGCATCATGTTTTATTCTGTGGGTCAGTGAGTCAGGAATGAGAAACAGCTGTAGCTCATCAAGGACAGTTGCTCACTGACTTTCTCCTAATCTAGGTCTGTTACATTCTCGACAAAATTTGAATACTTTCCACGTTCTATGTTGCCCAAAATACTGACTTTATAAAATGTAGTTGATAAGTCTTATGTTTTATTAGGCCTTCCCTTCTTTCCTCCCTCCCTCCCTCTCTCTCTCCCCTCCCTCTTTTTTAGTTCACATGAGCTCTGACCTGCGCAGGAGGTTGGGGTGGGGGCAACGCGCTCAATACTCAGTATGGCTTTTCTGAATCTCCTCTTCCTCCCTCTCTCACCATTACCAAATGAACATCTCTCTCTATTAATCCCGATCTATTTCAAATAATCTCCTTTCATGGTTTCCAATTCTGTGGATTTTCCTTCCTTCAATACACATTTGATCATTAGCTTATTCTCATCTTTTAGAAAGGATTGCCCCCCCCACCCCGCTCCTAAAGCATGTCTTCTTCTAGCTCCCTTCCTACTCTCCTCTCTCACTTCCATGCATTTGATGGATTCAACAGTCGCCTCTGCTAGCTGTGTTCTCCTCCTTTATTTACTCAGTCCTCAGCTCCTACAGTGAGTCACACAGTTGTACATAATGCAGACACAATCACGAAGACTTAACTTGTCTTTAAGGAACTTACAGTCCAAAGAAGTGAGAAGACAGAAATACAAACAAGCCACTGACACTAGGGACTACTGGTTCTCTTTTTAGTGGACTGTAGATACTGATGTCCATAAACTCCTAAATGGATGGGAGTCAGATTGTGGTACAGTATTGCACTTCAAGAAAAGTACAGCAAGAAAAGTACAGAAAGGAGCAGCACCTCCATTACAGAGGCGGGCTGAGCCTAATACCATTTGCTTGTGACTCTTGGTACAATCCATTTGATGTATGACCATAAAATGCGCCCCCGCTGTCCTCGCCCAACAGACGCAGGCATAGCTCTCTTGCCCCTTTTATATCTTTCAGCAAAGGCCCTAGGCATAATTATGAGGCTATGCTGGTCTTGTTGGACCCACTGCAGTGGAAAATGTAAGTGGAAAAGGATCAGGAACATAACAGATCCCACAGATTCTTTTGATAACTCCGTACTAGGTCTTGCGGGAAAAATGCAAACATGCTGCCCACAAATTGTTTATGGTCTATATATTAGGAATTATAGTCACAAGTGCAGAGAAAAATAAAACCACCAAGCTGAAGCATCATTTTCAAAAATTTTAAAAGCTGGAGAGGAGTAGCTATTAGTTCTTCGTTATGTGGTAGAATTCACCACTGAAGTCATCAGATTTAGGCCTTTTCTTTGTTGGGAGATTTTTGATTACTGATCCAAACTCCTTATAAATTTAGGCTTATTCAGATTTTATTTTTCATCATAATTTAATCTTGGTATGTTTTTTTCTATCTAGGAATTTGTCCATTTTGTCTAGGTTATCCAAATAAATGATGCACAATTGTGTTTAGCCCTCTCATCAGCCTTTTTATTTCTGCAGAGTTGGTAGTGAATGTCATTTTGGTTTCTGATTTTAGTAATTTTTCATCTAGATTCATAATATGTTGTTCTTATTTTGGCTTTAACTACTCAACTATATGTTAGAGTTATTTAAAACAAGAAAGAAAATTTTATATTTATCTACATAGTTGTGTAGACTTGCATTTCCATCTGGTAACGTTTTTTTTCTTAATTGAGGTAATATTGGCTTAAAACAGTATAAATTTCAGGTGCACAGCTTCTCACCTCTCCAACTGTATATATAATAACCACGCTTACCACCAAATGTCCCCATCTGGTATCATATTTCTTCTCCTGGAAAACTTCCTTTAATATTTTTTAAAATGCAAATCTGCTGGAAACCAGCTCTCAATTTTTGTTTTGCCTAAAAAAAAAAAAAAATCCACTTTTATAAGATAGGTGTTTTACAAGTATATTTTTGCTGGATATTATTTGCACTTTTTTTTTCATTTAGCAATTTAATGAAATTATTTGTTTTCTGGTTTGCTATGTTTTTATGAGACTGCAGTAGTCATTCTTAGCTTTCTTCCTGTGTATATAATATGCTACTTCTTCCCTAGCTGCTTTTATGATTTTTTTTACTACTGACTTTTACCAATTTGATTTTGATGAGCATTATAGTTTATTTGTGCTTTTTCAGCTGGTTTTTTGGTTGTATTTGTGTGTGTGTGTGTGTGTGTGTGTGTGTGTCTTGGATTATGTCGTTTACATAAAATTTGGGGAAATTTCACACATTATTCCTTAAAACCAATTTATTCCTTAAATGTTTTGTCATTCATGCCCATTTTTTTCCCCTTTTTGGACTCTAATTACCTGTATTTGATATTTGATATTGTTTCACAGGTAAGAAGATCTATCATTATTATTGATCTTTTTACTTTTTATAGTGCAATTTGGATAGTTTCTAACATTTTGTCTTCCAGTTCTTTAATCCCTTTAGATCTTTAGATCTTTAATCCCTTTCCCCACTATATTTATCTTTAAGGTACTGAACATACTTATAACATGAACTAAAACAGTAGTTCCATCACTTATGACATGTCTTGGTTTTATTCTACTGACTAATTTTTGTCCAGTTCTGAGCTACATTTTCCTACTTCATGGCATGTTTAGCAATTTGTAATAATCATGTTAGTAGGAAGCTAATTTGATGAATGCTACTATCTGCCTTTTAAAAAGTTAAGAAATTATTTGAACTTTGTTTTGGCAACAAATTTAGTAACTTGGGGTCAGCTTGATTTTTTTCAAGACTTTTGTAATGCTTTATTAATGCAATTGTAGTGTAGCTTTTACTCCTGAGCACATCTTTCCTACCACTGACCTCTGAGTTTCTTGTTTTCTAAGATGTCTTCACTGTGGTTGAGTGAAAATCATATTGCTATAATATGAGAATGTGCAGATCTAGGCCCAAGGCTATGTTCCTGGTATAATATTGAGTAGACGAATATTTGGACTGACTCGTGTCTACATATTGGGCTATTTCAGAGCTCAAAATCTTCTGTTAGCCTACTGTCACGTAAGGCTCATATGATTTCTCCTTGCGCCCTCAAAATATCTTTATCCATGGCATGGCTGCTTCTAAGACTGGTAAAGTTACTGCTCCACCTCATTGTTCAGATATGAATGATTTGTTTTCATGGAATTCCATTCATTGAGGATTACCTGTGTCTAAGCTCTTTGTTCAACTGATATAATTTTTGAGGGTTTTTCTTATTATCATAGGTGAAGAATATATTATTTTTCCCTTTCCTAATTGACCAGAGGTTTTTATACAGAAGGATGTATATACACAGAGACAAAAAATGTTTAAAACCCATTGAAACTCTTCAAATGGAAATCCTTAAATCTGTTAGAAAATGCTATTTTCAGGGAGTTGTTATAGGTGACGCACATTTTCAGCAACAAAATTACACAGCAAGAGAAGCACTTCAAGATACCCATTCTCAAGGTGCTTTTTCCATGCAGCAATTTCTTTTTTTAAAAAAAGTATACTTTTCCTCTTTTTGATAAAGATTAGATACATGTTTTTCTTTCTAAAATATTGTCTGCCTACAATACTGCAACAGTCTCCAAATTGACAGTACTTGTATAATGCTCTTTCCAATGTGCTCTCTGCTTTCACAATGGACCATAACATTAGAATGTACAGAGCTACACTCCACACCTCTCCTTCCCTCATTTACAAAACCCCCCACTGACTTGAAGATGGTTCAGGATGAGTACTAAACTGCTTAACATGCATAAAATCCTTCATAGATACTCAAGGTCATTTCCAACTATGTCTCGTTATGTGCCATAGCTTCAGTCTTCCTGTCTTTCATCACCTTACCTGAGGTAGGGAGCATCTTTCAGGCCTCTGCATATGCTATGTTCCTTTACCTGGAATATTCTTTTTTCCTCTTTCTATCTAAGAAGTTTTCACTCATGCCTTCAAGAAGGCCAGTGTAACTGTCAGTTTTGGGGAATAAACTGTCATTTTCACAACCAGAGCTGAATTTTCCCACTGTAACAAACACTCTTCCTATACCATTTAAAGTTGTACAATAATGGTGTATAATTACTTGGTGGCAAGACAAACAAGTATGTTTCTCCAAATAGGTAGTGAGCAACTAGTGTGGCCTCATTCACCTTTGACCCCAGACACTTAATAAAGGACCTGAGACTAGGTAGATGATGACATACAAAGAAAATTTGTCATAACAAAAAATAAAGTATTGCTTAAATGTTTTTATTTCCTTTTATGATAAAGCCAGAAGGAAGTCAAATGAGGTCATCAAATATTTGGATAGTCTATTTTCACTACTGGATTTTTCCAGCAAGATAAAAATTATACAGTTTCATGTTTAGCAATTTTTTTTTTTTTTTTTTTGTGGGACCCTCGCCGGCAGCCAGGAACAGAACCGGCACTGCAGAGGCTGTGGGCAGCCTCGCAACCCAGCGCTCAACCGCTGCGCCACCAGGGGAGGCCCATGTTTAGCAATTTTTAATGATCTGCAGCCACTTTTAGTTTGGCTTGCCCTGTTTTCCGTAATATGTATGATGATTAACTGCTAGAATTCAATGATGAACAGTGAAATTAAGTGATGACTGAAGATTAATTTAAATACACAGTCCTAAGTTAATTGAGAAAATAATTTTTGGGCAAAATGAAAGTATTATTTATGGTGTTACCAGTGGTAAAACCAGAAATAATAGATGAAAATTAAGAAAAGAACACTTTAAGAAGAAGATAAAAATTCTCTAGACAGTGAGACCTACTAGACTGTGAAATAGGCTTTCAAATAAAGTGATGGAAACACAATCCCTGGAGACATTCTAAATAAAAGGACAAAGGACTAAAAAGTGCTTTGCAGAAGAGAATTCCGTGTTGATAGGTGAAGCAAAAAGGGGGCAGGGAAGTGGATGATGACCAGATGGGGCCCACAGAGAGAGTGAATAGAAGAGGGTGGACTGAGAGATCCAGGAGACTTGAGGGGAGTTTCCATAGGAGGAGAGAAGCAAAGGCAATGTCAGTGGTGGGAAGAGGAACACAAGAGTCAGAAATGACATGGTACACAGATGGGTACCTTCAGTGGAAAGGCCAGTTAGATTCAGACACTGACTATGGAAAAGGAGCTTGGGTAGAGAGTAGATTCGAGAGGAACTTGACAGGTGAGAAGAGTTTTTCTTATCACAGGTGATAGGCAGAAGAGCAGATTCCTGAAAAGGAATTAGCCCTACAAATAAAATGCATGCAGTTACTTATAGTCTCTGTCTCTACAGGAGGAAGGGGTGAGGTAGGAATAGGGGTGAAGTGTTACTTGTTTCTGTAAGCTCAGTATCTGGCAAAGAATATTTCCTGAAATTTGTTGAATGAAGGAAAGCATTACAAATCAAAGCGTAGTTTTAAACAAGAATAGCTTGGGCTTCCCCGGTGGCGCAAGGGGTTAAACAGAGCACAATGAAGCTAGCCACAGCCTCTGCAGCACAAGTTCGATCCCTGGCCAGGGAGGTAACCCACATGGCAAGCAGACCTCTCCTGCCTCGCCCACTGCTCCCCTCAGCAGTGTATTTCAGTGGACCTGCCTGTTCTGCTCCCCACTTTGTCTGGTGAATCTTCTCTCTCACACACACACGCCGCCCCGCACCTCTGGCCTGCACCCCAGCTCTTGTATGCATAAAAAAAATCTTTAAAAAAATTATAGAGAATAGCTTTACTAATAGGGTCCAGGACCTATTAGAAGAGAGAGAAACTAGTAAGGGCAAGTGTTGAGAAGTCTCTTACAGCATGATAGAGAGTACTGAATTTCAGATATTTATCCAAGTAAAAAATATGTTATGTTGTGACTTGGTATACACATGCACATACACATACACATTGTTATCATTAACAATATACAAAATAATAATAAATATGATGTGTCGTGAACTTAGTTTCTGTATATCATTTCATGACCTATTAAATGGCTGGAATACACTAAATTGATTTCAAGATTAGCAGATGCTAATGTGTCACAATCTATAGTTTTAAAAGCACTAATCTAGAGAAATTAGCTATGAAATGACACCAAATGAGCAGGATATATTCTTAAAGAGCATTCTTGAAGTATAGCTTGAAGTGAGAAGTTTCCAGCAATGGCTCCATGGAGATATCATTTGTCGCATGGAATAAGAATATCAGTGATTCAAACAAAATATGAACATTGTCCATTTCAACCCACCAGAGCCTTTGTTGTCCTTATATTGCTTTCAAAACACAGAAGTAAGAAAATTTTAAGGAAACTTACTAAGGACACTAGGTATCGAAATCAGTTAACTCCCCAATGGGTTCTTTTGATAATTCAGAATAATGCCAGCATACTGCAGACATCTCAGACAAAAAGTTATCATTTTTATTTCTGGCAGATAATGTATTGTGAGCGTTTGAAATTAGGGTAGAGTTGAACTGAATTTGAGGGTTAAACATTCATTACACCAAGCCTTTTATAGTCCAGATTTTTTTTTCCTCAATGACAGACTCTTTTTACCATCTTTGAGGTTTCCTGTCCCAATCTCTTGGACAAATATGCTTATAAACCATCCAGTATTCTGTTCTTGCCTCACTGACAGGCATAAAAACCCATTTTCTGTTGTAGCTCCCTAACAGGCCTGATGCTCTAATTCTCCCTTCATTTCTTCATAGCTTCAGAATGATTCTCTCTGGAGTTCATTCTTCTCCTGACACAACCGTGAAGGACATCTTCCTTTCCTGAATCTCTCTGGCTGACAATAATATCGTCTTTTCCCTTCTTGTCTTTAACTGATGCTGCTTACTCACATAGGGATCCTTTATTCACCTTCCTTCCTGGTGCTTTTTGAAGCAAACCATCACTGTTCACACCTCGTTTGTCTCAGGGCATTCCCTGGTGGTCTTGCTGGCTGTCACTCCATCCTTTGGAAGCTCTTTTCCAAACATGGCTTCCCCTCTGGGTCTTAATTATGTATCTCTGAAAATTCTTCAGCTTTCTTATAGACGTGTGAATGGTAATGCACTGGGATTTCAATTAGTAGATCCTCTAGGAAAGAAGACCTTTATAATTAAGTGTTTGTATTTTCAAGAAGGCAAAGCAAAATAATTGTTCTAAGTCTTGGGAAATAGTGTTAGTTTGCTTTATTGGATCAGTGAAGACAAACTGTCCTTTGCCATCCTTCTTTAGGGAGATGGCAGTGAAACTATTGGATCTTTCTGTCGTTGAGTTAAAGAACATGAGCTTAAAGGTGACACACTCTGTTTTTTTTTTTAAATATGTATTTATTACATCATCCTTAATTTTTGTCCACTGTATGATTTCTCCATGAAATTCCCACCACCAATTCACCTGTGTACCATCACCATAGTCCCTAGTGCTCTTCCATCCCTGTCCTGCTCCCTCTTCCTCCTTCCCTGCAGAATGTCTCTGGCCTGTTGATTTTGATTTTTACTTTATTATAGTTATCTTTTCCCCTGATTCCTTATTTGGGGTTTTAAAACTGAGTCTGTGACTTACTTGTTTCACAACTTTGAATTGGTTACTTAGTCATCCTAAATTTTAGTTCCTTCATCTATAAAACAAGTAAAACAGTATTTGCTTTAGTAGAATAACAATTTAAATGAGCTAATACACATGTAAGTGGCCAGCACAGTGGTTCTCAAACTTTGATATGTGCTATGACCACCTGGAAATTAATGAGTCCAGGAGCCCACATGCATGGGAGTAGGAGAAAATTCTTTGTATTTTTACCACAATTTCCAGGTGATTCTGATAGACATCAAAGTTTGAGAAACACTGGTCAAGTACATTGTAGACATTCAACATATTTTCCCTTTGCCCTATTTTCACAGACAAAATATATGGAAAGTCATCTTAAACAATTTAAAAGAAATTAACTTTGACTTAAATTTGACTTTCAAAGGCCAAGGATCCGGAGAGGAAAGGAATTATACTGAAGATAAATCTATCTTATGTCTCCTAATCTGTAACCCTAAAGCTACCTCTTGACCAGGTCATTCAGCCGAAGGTTGTAGAATTCCTGACTAGTAATTGCTATTTTATGCATATTGATAGGAAAGTATACTCTAAAATTCTAAAAGCATGTGGCCTTATATATTTTTAAAAGTTAAAATTAATCTTAACCTTTAATACATTTACTTTATTAGTTATTTTTCATAGCCTGTATTTTTCCTACAATGTAGTTTATATTTATTCTGTTAGGTTTTAACCTATTGAGCCATCTTATATCATTTTTGTATTTGATAGCCATGTTATTTTGTTTATTTCAGATTATGCCTCATTCTAAAAGGATTTGAGGAAGCTTACCAAAATGTATGGACTGCTGGTTCCTATAGAGAAAGAAGAAAAAAAAGGGAAAAAGAGCAGCTCCCACTCTAGCAAAAACAAGTCAGAGAGCCTACCAAATCATAAATTTTCTCAAATCTACCAGGGAGCTGAATTTGCCGGCCAGCCCACAGTCCAACACCTGAGGAAAGACAGGCATGTTCAGCTGGGGGATGGCAAGAGGACAAAAAGCTTTGAGACATGGGAGAGAGGAAACCATCGCAGGCTCACAGCATCAGGAATCTCCTATCGCTGCGGGTGGCACAGGAAACTCGCACATAGGAGGTGACAAAATTATAAGATAGTTAGGTTGCCACCAGAAAAGGGGCCAAGATCATTAGAATTCTGCACCACTGAAGCTCAGTATTGAGTGAGGAAGTTAGGAAATGGGTACAGGAGTCAGTTAGGAATAGGATGCCCCAAGTCCCCGTGCCCATTTATCAATCTGAATAAGGAACAATTACTTAAACCAAAGGCACCTCCAAGCCCAGGTGCCCTGAGCCCATTTATTAATTTGAAAAAAAGAATGTTCAGAACACCAATACAATAACACAGTGCTACAGCAATGAACAAAGCTGGTTTTAGGATGACAGGCCAGGTAATGCAGGAAATGCAGTGGGCCTCAGTAACCTAGGAGACCCCACGTGCCTCAACCAATCAGCATGAGACACAACTTTGAGCTACCCAATGTCCAAACCCCCCTACTCCTCACCCACTATACTTATATAAACCCCTGCTTTCCAACCCCTCAACA